TATGTGATCCAGCTACCATTGGTGCAGATGTCTGTCACTTGAATTTGCATAAAACATTTTGGTATATGAATTTCTTTTCTATTTGTTCATTTTATTTTTATAAAATATACTAATTTTCCTCTAGTATTCCTCATGGTGGCGGGGGTCCTGGTGTAGGTCCTATTGGAGTGTAAGTGATATCAGATCGCATGTTGACTTCAGTGTGAAAGCAAACCATTTAACAACATAACATTTTACAGGAAATCACATCTTATGCCTTTCTTACCAAAACATCCTATCGTAGAGACCGGTGGCGGAAAGGGCATTGGTCCCGTAGCTGCGGCACCTTATGGCTCTGCAAACATTTTACCTATTTCTTGGGCCTATATTAAGATGATGGGTGATTACCTGTATTATCAAACTGCAACATTTGCTGTTGTCACGTAATTTATAATTCTTTCTTATTATATAGGTGGAGAAGGACTTAAATCCGCAACTCAATTAGCATTACTCAATGCCAACTATCTAGTACGTCGTTTGGCTAGTCATTACAAGATTTTATATACCAACAAAAATGGCATGTGTGCACATGAATTTATTGTTGACATTGGTCCTTTCGGAGGCAGCGCGAACATACAAGCTATTGATATTGCCAAACGTCTCCAGGTAAAATATTGATTTATATATATATTCGTCATTGCGAGCGCGCAAACTTACAATAAGAAATCTTTTTTCATAGGATTATGGTTTCCATTCTCCGACAATGTCTTGGCCGGTTGTTAATTCCTTGATGATAGAACCGACCGAGTCCGAATCGAAAGCAGAACTGGATCGTTTTTGCGATACGATGATTTCAATTAGAAAAGAAATTAGTTCGATTGAACAGGGTTCACAACCAAAAGAAGATAACGTGCTTAAGAACTCGCCACATACAATACAAGTTTTGGTTAAGGATACGTGGGATAAATCATACACGAGAGAAGAGGCTGCTTTCCCTTTAAAATATTTGAGGGAGCGAAAATTCTGGCCAACTGTTGGAAGAGTTGGTAAGCTTATTTATTTATTGATTTAATGAATTTCTTAGTTCTAATCATCATTCTTACACAACTTAGATGATGCTTTCGGCGATAAGAATCTTATGTGCTCATGCCCTCCAATTGAAGATTATATAGAATAATATTTTGCCTACAAAAATTTTTCTAGAGATCCAGTATTACATTATAACTTATTTATAGCCTGAAGCGAAAAAAGGTCGTTAATTAATCGTCTAATTTAATAAATAATGAGACTTATATTGTTGAGTTTGCTTCCTATATTCATTCTGAGAAAAGTCACGATTCTAAATTTTTCCAAAAATTGTTGATTCATTGAATAATCATGACTAGATAAATGGAACATAAATTTATGATTTATCTGTTTGATTTCACTTCAATACAGTATCATTATACAGTATATTAATATATGGGTGACTCGAGATCTTCTGTCCTAATTAATAGGTCGGCATGTAGTCACAAAGGAAGCGCTTTAACTATGAGTTAACATCTAGAATGTAGGCAAGAAAGTTGAATTTGTTGAAAAAAAAATTATTTTTTTTTTCTTAAAGACCTATGCAATCAGAGAAATTAAGTCGTCGCATAACATAGATACAGTATCACGAATTTCGAAAGAGTTGAGATTATAATATTTCATTTTTTAAATACTCGTTTGGCTGAAATTATAATAATAATAATAATAATAATTTGTTTTAATCGTATATGTTTTATTTATTTATTAAAATATCGAAAACAAATTATTATTCAATATCGTTCTCGTTTTTCTTTCACATTATAATTAAAATCATTAAATGATTCAAAATAATTAAAAAATAAAATAATTGATTGTTGAAACACAACTATAACTTTAGATGCCTATGTTTTTTTTTTCTTTGGAATACATGAATGTCATCACATTAATAATGTTAAAATAATTCAAGGTTCTTCGTTATACTTTTTATATACTGTATAATATAAACACGTTTTTTTATATTAAAACTACAAAATTTTTATATGAACCATAATTCTCGATATGCATATTAATATTATTTGAAAAAAGAAAAATCCTGAGGTATTCATACAAAAGAAATATTGGATTCATTAATGAGAGGGATGGGCATGTATTCATCTATAGAGTTGTTCACGGTACAAATGCAAAAAGACGCGTTTTATCCTGATGATAAAAAATGTGCAGTATATGCGATTTCTTTAAGAAAAAGTTACATTTCTAAATGCATTTAGGGAAGAAATGCACAAAATGAATATTCTTCGCATGTGTTTGAATTGATCCGGTGTCTCATTAATCGGTTATTTATGATTTTGTTTATAATAGATGCCGAGATTTGGTCTGGTAAAAAATCTTTGAAATTCTTAGTTTAAATTCGGAGCTGCGATCATCATTCAATCATGTGCCAAATGTAATAAAAATTGAAATTTTTGGCAATGTTTTCTTCTTCATTGCCTTCAATGAGTCGATCCAAAAATTCCAAAAATTTTCGTCGATCCAGACAATCGTCTATCTCATCGACTAACTCAACACCATCAAAAAATCAAGCGAGATCAACTCATGTTAGTGATATTGCGGTAGATTCTGCAAGCGACTCAGTCAAAAGATATATGACTTCGAATAATCGACCCAATGTCATAAATACATACAAACCACAATATAAAAGGACGAAAGCCGGTTCATCTCAAAATAATGCTACAGAAGCAATTACCAAACCTGTTGAAGAACCATTCAAGAAAGATAGGATTCCTAAAACAAGGGTATTTACTATAAAAGATCTATTATTATTACTATTATTACTACTACTTCTATAATTCATATTATAATTTTATTATTATTTAATTTCTTAAACAAATTATTATCTTATTGATTTTAGTTCATTACTTAACTGTTTATTCTACTTTCTTCAACTATGTTAACGCCTATTCACTATTACGATTGAATAATAAGGAAAAAAGAAAGAAAGAAAGTGATGGTAATATAACTTTTACTTTTTGTCCGGCCTCTTCAAGTCATTAATTAACCCTTTGGATGATTGTATTCTTAGATGATGAAATAATGTCGAGTTATCGCACAAGGCTCTCATCAGAAGTGATTATAATTTCATAATTGACTTTATAATTATTAAATTTTAAAACGATTTTCATTTACACTATTATATTTTAGGATGGTGAGGAGAGAGAAAGCGATGAAAGAAGTCGCGTTATTAACGCAAAACTTCCGAATATTACAAATAAAAATATAGATGACTATCCTATAAATGTGAATAATGAGCAGAGCGAACACAAGGAAAATGAGGAGGATGATTTGCCAGTAGAATCAAGTAATGAAATTGTAGATATTTCAAATAGTGTTCGGAACGAGATCGGTGATAACAACAGTGACGATGAAAACGAGAAAAAATCTAGTGGCAGCGAAACCGAACAGATATATCTGGATGAGGGAAACAGTGACGATGAAAGAAGGTCGGAAAACAATATGGAAAACATGGATTTTGGAGTATCGAACGAAAA